GGTATACAGGTACAGACACAGGTACACAGGCACGGACGCAGGTATACAGGTACAGACACAGGTACACAGGCACGGGCACAGGTATGCAGGTACAGACAGATTACACAGGCACAGGTATACAGGTACAGACACAGGTATGCCGGCACAGGCTCAGGTGCAGGCAGGAAACAGAAGCAAACACAATGACTGGCCAAGGAACAGGCCAATGGCAGGCTCTTACATTCTCAGATAATGATGGCATTACCAGGGACAGGTTTGGGCCGTTACTGATTACTAAAGTTGGCACAATATAATTTTTTCTGCTCCGGTCCCAATATTAAAATTTTGAGTTGCAGATTCCAATATCAATCTGATATTTTTTCCTCTTAATCAACTACTCACCATTAAATTAGGTATTTGTATCAATACATTTCATTTAACATGGTAAACTATCTGCATTTAGTGCTAACAATAGGAAAATATAATGATCATGTTGCTCAAACAAAAGCTATGGCACTATGCTACAGCAAGGAATATATGGCCAATATGATATATGCAATTCTAACAAAAATCAACAGAAATATATCTTAAAAACTATGCAAACTGTTGACAAATTAAATATAATAATGAAATCAATAATAAAAATATCACTGTACACCCCAACTAACCATTTCTAGTCAAAAAGTACACATAACTCTCCAGTGCAAAATGTACAATGGAGCACAGGTAAAACTTTTAAGTAGTAATCAAACTGTAGAAAGAATATAAGTCTGAAGATGTATCACTTGTATAAATGCTGCTGTGTTCAGACATAAGGAAACCTAACCTTACATACACTGCACTCTGCAGTTTAGCTTCAGTGTTACGTTCCACACAGCCACATGCATTACTGAACTAGCCATTATTACTAGCCAACAACTGCTGATGAAGGTGAAGACTATTGGGACTCCATACTTTGGAGCGATGAGACAAAGGTAAATCATTTTGGAGAATTGCACTTCACCGATGGCATCATGAATTCACAGATGTACTGTGAAGTACAGAAAGAGAAGATGCTGTCAAATCTCCATGCCCTTGGTGGCCGGACACTCTTTCAACATGACAATGACCCAAAACAAACATCCAAGGCCACTGCTGCATTTCTGAGGAAGAACAGGCTGGCAGTGATTCTGTGGTCAAGCATATCAGCTGACCTCAACCCAAAGGGCACCTGTGGGGAGTTCTGGGAGGACAGGCTGAGCGTCATTATCCATCCAGCATCCAGGTTCTGGGAGGACAGGCTGAGCGTCATTCTCCATCCAGCATCCAGGTTCTGGAAGGACAGGCTGAGCGTCATTATCGATCCAGCATCCAGGTTCTGGAAGGACAGGCTGAGCGTCATTATCCATCCAGCTGCCAGGTTCTGGAAGGACAGGCTGAGCGTCATTATCGATCCAGCATCCAGGTTCTGGAAGGACAGGCTGAGTGTCATTCTCCATCCAGCATCCAGGTTCTGGAAGAGCTCATTCTCCAATAATAGAGAAAGATAGACGGGGCAGTATATCGCCAACTTGTACATTCCTCATCTAGAAGAGTTGGTGCTGTTCCTAAAAATAATGGAGGCCATACAAAATATTAAATTTGGTAGAATTTGTTGTAAGGTGTATTCATTTTTGCAACACTTAATTTGAATACAGTGTATTTTCTTATCCTAATGATGTTGGTGACCAAGATTTTATGTTGTTAATGAAACAAATGTTTAACAAAACTTAGTTTTGTCAACAATCTGCTAATTGTTCTTGTGTTCACTGAGAAATGGATAAAAGTCTTAATTTTCAAAGAGGGTGTACTTATTTATGCTGGGTACTGTACATATGTAGCTATGTTTAGCTGCACATACTGTATACACATGATTTATCCGCGCCGTATCTACTCCAAGCCGCTAGATGGCGACATGCGTATCGATAATCATCAGTGACTCCCAAAATCTGAAGAGGACGAAAGAGCTTCATTCGTTTACTTTCGTTTAGGCTGCCGGTAAAATGGGCAGTGAGCCGCGAAGTTAATGGTACTTTTTTGCTCGTAACGAATCGTTTTAAGTCGGACGTTGATTGTATGTCACGGCCCAATTATGAGCGCGGCACCTTACATATGCTCTGACATTTTATTCGTATTTACAGATGATTTAATTAGTAGCTGTATTTTTATACTTTCATGATGAAATGGGCGATGTGATGTTAGCTATGCGTAAATGCGGCGCCGGTCTTCGGCGCTGTTTGCCCTGGTCACGCTACATCTTGCGCTATATGAGCGCGGGCATGACCGGGCGTAAGATCCCAGCTGCTCCGCTGCCTTCGGAGGAGGCGTCTCTCTACGTACACGTGAGTTTAACTTAATAAAACATCTAGTCTACTCATTGCCGCCGGGTGAATCTTCGTGTAAATATGCTTTTTTTTTTATTGTGAACATCCTTTTGCACTACCAGAGTGGATCCTGGAATTTTGTGGGGGAATGTGCTGTGTCTCCTCACGCTCCCGGGCCGTTGTCTCTCTGCAGTGGCCCTACTGCCTGAAACGCTGCTCCTACTGCAACTTCAACAAGTACATTTCCCGGGATGTCAACCACGCCGAGATGAGGGCATGTCTGCAGTTAGAGACCGAGGCATTACTCCGAGTCAGCCAAGTGTCCCGGTTTGTGTCTGTCTTCTCTTCTTGCTGAAGAGTTCAAAGCCCTGATATAGCCTTTTTGAAATCTGTTTGATTGCACTGATGCCCCCCCAACCACCACCTCTTTGCCCCTTATTTCTCATTACTCAGCATCACTTCTGTGTTTTTTGGTGGTGGCACCCCTAGCCTGGCCCCACCCTCAACAATCGCAGCCATCCTGGAGACGGTTGCTAGGCGCGCAGATCTCCCTGTTGATGCTGAAGTCACCTTAGAGATAAACCCGACCCCCATGGGACTGGCCTCGCTGGAGGAATTCAGGCTTGCTGGGGTGAATCGCTTCTCCATAGGAGTGCAGGTGAGGGCTGGACCAGATGTAAAGAGTTTCAGTGAGATGTGCAATGCAATCATTAATGCATGACAGTCGCAGCATTCCATACAGGAAAGCAGTTCAGATTTTGCAGGAAAAAAATTGAGGCGATCCAAGCAGGTCAGCATGCACCTGTTAGCAGAGAGATGGAGCTTTGAACTGAAGATGGGTGGTTGTTAAACAGATTACTGTTAATGATGACAGTATCCAATGCATCCAATGCAGTATCTACTGCTTGTGTAAAAACCTCTTTTATCCTATAATTCATGGGTACTGAAGCACTCTTCCATGCTGTTCTTCACTCCATCATTCTCTCTGGTATAAATTTTCATCTTTTTTTTCCCCTAGTCTCTTCATGATGAGGCTCTGAGGGTTTTTGGTCGAGACCACAATTCCCAAGATGCCTTGCACACAATAGCAGAGGCTCAGAGGCTGTGTCCTGGTCGTGTGTCCGTGGATGTCATCTTTGGTCGCCCGGGCCAAACCGTGGAATTTTGGGAGGCGGAGCTAAACGAGTTGCTGTCGGCCTGCGATGATCATGTGTCGCTGTACCAGCTGACCCTCGAAAGGGGCACCCGCCTCTTCAAGCAGGTGGAGGCGGGTCAGCTGACCATGCCAGGCGATGATGTCACTGCTCACATGTATGAGTCGGCCCGGAGGATTTTGGGAAAGCGAGGATTCTTGCAATATGAGGTGTCCAACTTTGCCAGAAATGTAAGTCCCCGGTGCACTAGGGTTGAGTAGAGAATCTTTGACAAAACAGGAAGCTCTGATAGTCACACTGAAAGTTGCCAAATTAAAGACCAAAGAGAGAAAGCAGCAGTATCTGAAGCAGGTATTTCCCAGAGTATTATGTTGCTAATGATCAAAGGCAGCCAGTAAATATTGTGTTTGAACGAAACAGCTTCAGTCTTTCTGTGTGTGTTTTTGTGCTGTTACTCACAGGGTGCTGTCAGTTCTCACAACATCAGCTACTGGAGGGCGGGTCAGTACCTTGGCGTCGGCCCAGGTAGGACCAGTCACTGCAATATGCTGTCAGCCTAAATATTTACTCCTGTTGGCGTTCTACTGCGATTCACGGCACTGTGCTTCCTGTGAGATTTGCTGGTGAGTGTATGCATGGTCTCTCTGCCAGGTGCACACGGCCGCTTCATCCCCCACCAGGAGGGGGCGATACTGAGGGAGGCCTGGACCCAGACCCTGGAGCCTGATGTGTGGATGAAGGAAGTCCGGTGCCGGGGTCATGGAACGCGCCGGAGGATTCAGCTCGGTCATCTGGCTCTGTGAGTGAAGCTTCCTTTTGTCTGGCCTGCTCCGTCATTTCTCCTTTTCTATGCTGGATCCCTGATTTCCACGGCTGTTCTCCTTGTGTCTGTGTGACTGGCCCTGCAGCTCCATGTCCACCGTGCTCTTTTTCCTCCTGCAGACTGGAGGAGGTGTTGGCGATGGGCCTGCGCCTCGTTGAGGGCGTATCTCACCAGGTAAGCTCCGCCCGCCGTCGCCATGGTGCTAGCGTTCACTTTCACACGTACACCCTCGTGCTCTTTCCCACGCCGGCCTTCGCCTGTTGTTTTTCACGCTGCCTACAACAGCCTCTGGTTTGTGGGCCACTGATCGCTCAGAAATGTGCTTTTTCTTTTCTTTGAGTGTGAGCCATATGCAGAAATCACCTCTCCATATCTCAGGCTCCATGTCTTTCTGCCATTTATCCTACATTACAGCCTTGATTTTATTCCATTGGGTCTAGAGCTAAACAGTCACCTTGACTGATATGTAACTGGTATGACTTGTCTGCAAATCCCTGCTGAACTCATGGCACCTTGTAGCCCAGGGTTGTTATTCTGAATTAGTCACAGAAATCTGTCCAGCGAGAAGCTGGATGATTAGTACTCATGACGTTGGCCTGCTGCCCCTTGCAAAGATTTATTATTCTCAAAAACCTGCTTTTCCTTATAGCATAACTTAGATGTTCGTGCTGTTTCTTTGTAGCTCTGGAAAGAGTTCAGCCCAGATGCAGACCTCCAGCAGGTTTTTGGCCGGTCCACAGAGGTGCAGGACCTTCAGAAGAGGGGTTTGCTGGTCCTGGATGACAGGTAAGCACCAGCTCACCACTGGCTATGTTGCCGGATTTAACTGATGCTTGTTGCTTAGCAACACCTGTTTCCAAACAGGAATCTTATTAGGCATCTGAGCCTAACTGCCCTATCAGGAAAGGAAGGTTTTGCCTTGATTGTTTACTGTTTCTTTAAATTTGTCTGCTTCTGAAGACGATGATGGGAGAGCCCCCCCCCCCTCTCCGTGTGTGGGAGGGTGGTGCTGGGTTAAATACTACTTTTTTCTCACTGCAGGGGTCTGCGGTGCTCCTGGGGGGGTCTGGCACTGTTGGACAGCGTCCTCCCGCCTCTGCTTCTCCAACTGCAGGCATACCATGACCACCAGGGGGCGTCTGGGTGATCGAGGTGGTCATCATCTCATAACCAAAAACTCAACCATGTTTAAGACCGCAGAGAAGGTGATGGGTTTGTGAAAATCCGTGCAGTTCATCGTCGTCTAGCCCGACCTCCTATGTGAAATCCGCACTCTGCAATGGTGTGACTCCACTAGCAGTCGAAGAGGGTCGTGCACGTCGTCCATCAGTGCAAACCAGACATCAAGGACAACAGGGTCTTACATGAACTTTAACCTTTGCATTTCAGCCAATGTTCTTTATCTAACGGGAAACCGACACAGCAAGTCCTCTACAGACAGTCTTTGAAAATGTGAAAAATTTTGAATATTTAAATGAATAAAGACAGTATATTTTCATATAATTGTGCAAAAAAATAATTTTCATAATATTTCTCATACTCTATTTACAAAAATAGACAATGGATTGATATCCATCCATCTCCTCTAAGCACTTATCCAGTGCCAGATGGATGTGAGTTCACAACCCAGGAAGCACTGGGCACAGGGCAGGAGGCTCCCTGGATGCGATGCCAGTCCGTCGCAGGGCACACACTCTGGGGTACCCTGGGCAGTTTAGATACGTCAGGTAACCTAACCTCATACAGCCATGGGAAAAACTGAGACCACAGCACAATTTTCTGTTTTTACATTTCTAAATTATCGGACTGCATCTGTGAATTATATACTGCAGACTGCATCCTGGCTCTTCCCTGCTTCTCATTAATGAAGGGCTTCTTCCTTGCTTTGTGGGACTTCAGTCCTGCTTCTAGGAGCCTGATACGATCTGTCCTAGCAGTGCACTTCACACCTGCACTTAATGTTTCCCATTCCTTTTGAAGGTCGCTTCCTGTCATCCTCCGATTCCTGAGAAACTGTCAGATAAATTGACCATCATCTCTGGCATTAGAAAGTCGCTTCAGCCCATTACCTGACTGGTTTCTGGTCCTTCCCAGTGTCTCCTGCTTCACTTTATTCTCAGGTACTCTTGGAACCAACCTGCTGCTCAGCGTAGCCTGTCACAGAATCACGATTAAACCAGGATATAAAAATGCAGATTTCTTTTAAAATATACAGTGGTCTCTTCTTTTTTCCGCGGCTGTATGTTGCAGCTATAAAAGGAAACTTTCACGCCCCCGTAGGTATGGGAGTCGATTGCAGGAAGTGCGCAGTGTACAGTTATCGTGTAATTAAATGAAAGACAGGGGTGCTGGTGTGATATTTATACCAAAGTGCCTCTTTTTATCGATAACTGTCCTATTGAATGCTGTGTAATGCATCTTCATTCCGGTTTTCGTGCGCTGTCCATGGTACTCCCGAAATTTTGATCACCCCTCATTTGAGGAGCCAATATTGAATGTAGCAGAATATATGGGACCATGTTCTGCAATTTACTTTGGGCTGTTAAGATTATCCCATACTTCTGTCATTAAAATACATTATAATTGTTAAAAATGTGTATGACATGTATATTGTCTGTTTTCGTTCTGAATACATCTTTTTTTTAATAGCTACATTTCTTAGGATATTGTGTAATTGTTGCGTCGTGTCGTTTGAATGTCACTGTTTGAATGTTATATAATGTCCGCGTGCTTGCAAGCCACGCTTTCCTCTTTCCCAGGGGCTCCTAGTCACGACTGCGGGGGCGGCGGCTCCGGCGAGGCTTCCCTGCCCGCAGAGCGTGTTATATCATATCGGAGCGTAAGCTGGGTGCAGGGGATCTTATACAACACGGGGGCTGTATGTGCTCCAGGACCCGGCGCCCACTCACAAAGACTTCCTCCATCACCATAAATGGTGCAATTGTGCGTCCAAGCGTAAACGTAAATGCCGGGAATAGGTCCATATTTCAATGAGGAAAAATTACCAAAATAGGTGATGATAACTAACCCATTTTAAAATGTAGTGTTAGGTAGTGGGCTTTGCAGAAATGTACGAAGGTTAGAACAGTCATCACTATGACAAAATTAAAAGCATTCAAGCATTCCTTTATTTACCATGCAACTTCAGACATCATTTATTCTTAAAAATTAAAATTTTAAAAGTCACACATTCGGTTAACGCGCTGTCATCACAATTATTTACTGGTCCAGCCAGCATGTATGAAATAAAATGGTAACGTTATAATAAATGCATTCTCATGTAATGGAAACAAACAGACAAACGTTTTAGCAAAAATGTCCCCTGAGTTGTGCTCTCATTGAATCTGACACTTGTCGAGAGGTTTTCTTCGTTTCCTGGAGGTACTGGTTCCGAGGACCTGTCGGAGGTCGGTGTTGAAGCTCGGCCGGCGAGTTAACGGGCAAAGCGCCCCGCATGGCGCATCTTGGACGGGCGTTATTCGCCTTCCCGCCGGTCTGCCGGAACGCAAGGCCCGGTACGAGCGAATGGAGATCTTGCGGTGCTGCGAGGGGCCGGTCTCGGTTGGAAGTCCTCCCCGTTCCGCCAGAACTTCAAACATCTCTTCCAGGTTGGTTCCCTCCTTGGCGGAGATTTCGAAGTAGGGAAAATCGTCTCCAAGTGCACGGAACACGTCCGCATGGCTCACGGTCCTCTCCTCCCGACTCAAGTCCACCTTGTTCCCGCATATCACAGCCGGGATGCACGCGTTTTCTTTGGATTTTAGAAGTTTACACTTGGCAGCTACAACCTCCTTGAGCAATGCACAGACTTCGTCCAGAGATTCTTTGTCATCCACGCTGAACACCAGAAGAAATATGTCACCTGTAGAAGAAGCATACAAAGATATTTAGGCACATGCCAAAAGATATTGCAGTAAGTCAGTGTAAATCACGGTATGTGCAAATCAGTGCAGAAATCTACGCGTTGAGTGTAGAAGCCTGCAAAGGCAGTGAGGCGATTTATACACGATTGGCTCAACTCACCTGTGAGGATTGACAGTCTGCGTTTTGCAGGAAAATCCCTCTCCCCCGAGGCATCGAGGATGTCAATCTGATAGGTTTCCCCACGGATGTCGTACAGCTTTCTGTGAAAGTCCTCGGAGGTGGGCTCGTAATGCTCCTCGAAGCCATCGCGGAGGAACCTCCGCAGGATGGAGGTCTTGCCCACTTTGCGCGCTCCCAGCACCACGATGCGCCGGCGATTCTTTGGCTTGACGGAGCGAGGCTCGGTGTCGCTATTAAGGTGGCATGTCTGACCGTGCAGTGCCAGCGCTGCCAGCCGATCCACAGAAAATCTTTTGCAGGGAAAGCGGTCTAAGGACGGATACCGACTACCTATGCTGGAGGACCGCACGGTCCTCGCTTTAGTTTCCGGCTGTAACCAGTGAGCCGTGACACTTTTAATGATCCCAGCTTCTGACTTTGGAATGTATGAGACCCTGAGATCAGAAGCGTTTCTGTACTTCAGGAGGACTTTGGAGGGGTCGCCGCTGCACGCGTTTCTCACGCCGGGGAACTGCATCTGTGGTCCGCCGAGAGCGCATCTCTGGGGCTCGACTGGCACGCCGCTTTCAGGACGATCTACGCCGGTGCCATTGACCTCGGCGGTGCCGTGCACGGGGAAGAAAACGCCGCTGCTTTTCGCGTCCATGCTTGCTCCCGACACACGCATCTATCGTCTGAAAACACTGGCGCAGTTTGCCCTATGCAGAGTACGCAAGCTCCGCTGCCACTACGCCTATCCTCCTCTGAAGATCATGTATCGGCTGCTTACTGTTCCCCTCCAGCCTCGCACGCCGTTTATATAGGGCAGTCGTGAGTTTGCGAGTCGGTACGTCACCGTATGATGATCGCTGTGGGATTAAGGGAACCCAAACGCCTCTCTGCAGCCAGCCCTCCCACTTAGATCTATATAGGGAAGGCTTTCCCTTTCTTATATCACCGACGGACGCCTTTTGTCATATTTAAGCCAGATTTACATACATAGCACAAGAAAAAAACATGTTATATTTTTGGGCTCGGTACCATATTCAGTATAGGCCTATAGTATGGCATTTCCGTAAAATGTTTAATTGACTGTAAATAGCATGCCCTTTCAGTCTAGGCCTATTTATTAACATGCATGATACATGATATCCAATAATATATTATATAATAGTATTCTATCGATGCGTGCTCTGCTTTGTAGTCAATACTTCTATGGTCGAACGTTTTGTGATGCGAGTTAGCGGTCGGTCGTTGTCCGGCTGCAGTCACGACGTGATAAACATGATTTACTATTTCGTGTTAAAGAATGAATCATATACCAGTGATTTGCGTAACCATTTCTTGACATGTTATTTACATGAGTATGTAAAGATTTTCCATTTTGCGGTCAGCTCTTGCATCTGGTTTCAGTTTTTTTTTTCCCGTGGCGGTATTCAGGTAGGTTACCTGATGTCTCTAAACTGCCCGTTGTATCCCGATGTGTGTTTGAGTATATATGTGCCCTACGACGGACACGCTGCAAGAATTCGAGACACCAATTCCTCCAACAGCAAGTCTTTAAAGTGCAGGAGGAAACCCACGTGATTCATGGAAAACATGCAGGCTACACCCACACAGAAAGGAGGCGGGATTCAAACCCTCAGCCCTGGAAGTGTGAGGTGTCATCAGTAAATTCTCACAAATCAGTGGGAACGTTTCTTCTTTTGGGGATTGTTTGGAGACAATATTGGGTGTGTACTTCCTAACCGGCAGGTGACCTACAAGGGGCGGTACCGTGACAAAGCACCCCGACAATGGCCTCTTCTCTCTTCTGCCATCAGACAGGCAGGTTTCTTGCCTCAGGCTACCGGTATAACACATGAGGACTTTTAAGCGCTAACATGCCACACGCACTTTGTACTGTCACCACCCTGATTCCTCATTTTACATCCTTCTAACTTACACTGCTGCCTCTGGAACAGGCTCCGCACCGCCGCCCCCCACGACCCTGAATAGGACAAGCGGTTTCAGAAAATGGATGGCTTACACTCTTACACTTTTGTAAATATAAACATTTATATTATTGCTTTTATCTTTCATTGTCTAATTTTATTTTATGCAAGTAACATCTGGCTGCGGGAGACAGACGGGCACTTCCGGGGGGCGGGGCTTGACCGCTAGTCGGCATGCATGTGACAAATAAAACTTGAAACTCGACATATATTATATTTAACCATATATAGATATTTGTGGTATTTTAAATATCATATATAGATACTGCTGATATCTATCATGTTCATACTTCATAGATATAAATAAATACCATGAGTAAACCAAGCCGCGTTCCCTTTGAAATCCACCCCTTCTTGCGGGTACACAGGTTTGGGGCTGAGTTCCCTGTGAATTGTCGTCTCTGCTGGGGCCAGGTTGTTGGTTCAGTGCTGAACACGCCATGGTCCTGCTCAGTCCTGCTCAGTCCTGCTCCAGCTGTCCCTCTGCCTTCCATCGTCCAAGGTCATTCCAAAGGAGGCAATCGGTGATGAAGAACCCTACGCATGTCAATCGAGCTGAATTCTAGAATAAACCAAGGACTGTACGGTGTGTACAGTGGAAGAAAGGCATTATTATTATGTCGCCATGGAAACGGTAGCTTATGAATCTGAGCTCCACCTGGAGCTGTGGTGGCCTGTTTCCTCTTATAACGGCTGTCAGATGGTCAGAGCGACGTCTTGTGTTCGATCACCGTTTCGTTTCTGGTATCACAGGTGGCTTCCTGTCGTTTTACCGTTTTTTCCCCCCAACCACATTCCCGCCATTGTGCCCCAGACTAGCCGTTAGTCTGACAGGTGCTTCCGTCCTGTTCATTCGGACTGCTCCCCAATGCATAAATGGATCATAATGCACTTTTCTACAGTGCCGTGTATATAACGGTATCGTTGGGGGTGAGATTTGTGAGGCTGTTGGTTCAAGTTGCATGTGGGGCCAGACAGTTTACTGTTGAGGTCTTCTGATGCAGACGAATTGACAGCTTTCCATCCATCCATCTTTCATCCAGTACAGGCTACTCCCTGGAATGGTTAACAATCCACGCATGTATTCGCTACAGGAAATTTACAGACACCATTTGCCCGGCTGCAGGTCTTTAGACTACAGGAAGAAATCCACAAAACCAGGGACCCAGATTTCCTGTTGCAGTCTAAAGTCACGATTCGCGGGAAGCCGGCATCTCTTCATTGGCTATAGCACGTGTGAGCGTGCGCGTGTGAGCGTGCACGTGTGAGCGTCTGGCCTCCCGCGCTGATTGCTCCCCTGCCTTGGGCCCTATACTGTGTGGGATTGGTTGGACAGTGCAGCCACTAGGGCTGGACTGGCCATCTAACATACCAGGCATTTTCTCAGTGGGCCGATAGGTATGTGGGCTGACAAAATTCATCGTGGGACTTCCCTAGCCCCCTCGGCTTGCCAAAATTTCTCTCAAAGTCCAAGGTTGATTTTTAATTCCAGTTCAGCCCAGACATCGGCTCTGTGTTACACTTAGTAATTCCCCTGCCTTGTTTTCCCCAGACAGGAATCAGAGCAGTTTTCCTCCTGTCCATTCTTTCCTGCCATCACTCTCAATTGTGTCTCTGCAATAAATCCAAATTTATCGCAGCCTGTCGTGCGTTTTGGCACAGCTTTTGTGCGTCATCACACTGCCGTTCAAAACTTTAATTTGCCTCTGCAGTTTATGCCATTCAACTGCAAATATTGGTTCCAGAGACACTTTTTCAGTTTTTCAGTAGCTCGACCAGCTGTAAAACAGCCAATTAAATATTTATGCACGTCCTCTTTTGCTTTTCATCCGCATCCATTAAGAGCATGAACTTGGCCGCGAGTCTTTTTTTTCTACGTCTGTCTTACATAAAGTGACAGAGGATTGTGGGAAAATTCCTTTTAAATAGGACAATGGTTTTGTTATCGGTGCAAAAGATGGTGTCTGTCTTTATATACTCACTTTACACACACACACACACACATACACACACACACACACACACACACACAGCTCATTTTCAATAGAATTTACTAAGCACCCGTGACTCATTCGGTATGTGCAGTGGCCTAAAAGTATGACGAGTATGAGGATTTAAATCTATCTGGTGGGTCATCATCCATCCACATGGTTACACACACCCTTCATTACACACACACACACACACAGCTGTTCTATGAACCAGACATTTTCAGACATGGAACTCGTCCTTCAAGAATCTCTGGTCAGGTCATAAACTTCTCGGCTGATATCAGGGGGCGGGGCTTCACTGAGGGTCACTGAAGGCCCAGCCGTTGTTCTTACACATGTCAGCTTCCAAACTATTTGTAACACGACTCTCTCTTCCCACTGTACAGTCTAAAGTGTGCTGCTCTACTTGTGAAAGTAGATCATAGTAAGACATGCTTTATCTATATGCGTCTCCTGCATAGCTCTCATCAGCTTCAGGAACAAACCGGCTCCAACTTCCTGTTTTGGTGACATGCCGTGCTCTGCAGTTGTTAATATGACTATGAAATCAAGTCATGTATTAGTTTTTAACCACCTAGCCTTATAAAAATGTACATAAAAGTTTAAATGTCTCTGATAAAAACAACTTCTATGACTTTACAATCTTTGAAAGAAATGTATGTTTTGTAGGCCTATATATTATAATTCATTACATTTGTCTACACTGCATTTGTCACCGTTTTCTTACATGAAGTCTTGTACTGTAGTTTGGAAACGCGTGTTATTTCCTACTCTGTCCTCAGAATGTTTTATTTTAATTTGCGTCAATTTTAGTAATAAATTATGTGAGAGGTATCAGGTTTTGTCCGAGCTTCCCAGAATGTTTGAATAAGATCAACGCAGCTGGAATAGACTATGATAGTATTGCTTATTTTTAATTTTCTCGTAACTTGTAACTGTACTGGGTAAAGGGTGCAGGTTCACGCGCAGGAATGATGTCATGGCAAGCGGGCCGGGCTGCGCACCAGGACAGAAGGGGTTAAGGGGTAATTCGGACGGCATCGGGCGTCTCTCCACCTCTCCCTGCCGCCTGTGCATGTCCGCGTCCGCGCCTGTCGGCTGGCTGCCCGCTCATTTCCAGGAATGGTATCCTTTCGCAACTTTTCTCGGACGTGGAGACCGAAAAGAAGGATATAACTGATCCCGAAATGCGAAGGACCCGCTTCGATTCCTGGGGCTGATGGTGATTTTGATTTTTTGTTTTCGGTGCTTGTTTTAGCGTATTACTATACTGGAAAATGTCAGGAGGAAGTACCTTGAGAAATAAGGTCTGACGTTTATTAGGGAATTTATGGACGGTCATGGGTGTGACGTTAGTCAACAGTAACTAAACGACTTCTTTTAGGGAAATTTCGATGCTACTTCTTACCCAAAGTACAGAAACCAGCTGAGTCATGATTTACTTTTACGCAGTGTTGGCTCTCGGCACATATTAGGAAAAAGCACCGTGCAGTTTCTACGGCTGCGTGTCGGGTTTTATCTACACGGGAAACGCGGCGGCTGTCGGATGCCTTTATTTTTATTATAATGCGCCGATTTGTGTCCACGCACCTCGTTCTGTCTGCATGGCTGGCCTGCGTCCTGTCCTCTTTGGAGGTGGGGGGTGGATATCTAGGCGATGCTTTTTAAAGTTGAAATCTGTTATTGCGGGATGCAGGGGCTTAGGATCGGCGCCGATGCCTGCATTTTTTATTTATTTATTAGGAACGTAGTGAAACTTTTTCGGTGTCCGGAATGGGAATATAAGTTGTACCTCACCTGAGTGACAGGTGCACCCCTTCGGTGATGGGGAGATCCTGTGATACCAGCGCTGTATCTGGGTCATAGACTGTGATCCACAAAAACCATATAAGCAGGAGCTCTTTGCCGGTGTCCTGGATGTTAACGTGAAATGCAATGAGGCCTAGACACCGTTTATATACAAACGTGTACGTGTTTGTGTAGGCCTATATACACATATACAAATTAACGTAGTTGTATTTTATCGTGTATTCTTTGTGGTGTGGGCGCAGGAAGTATGTACGTGGGAGGGGAGAGCTATAAAGTGAATAAATAGATTCTATTGCTCAGTATGATTTATTTTATCTTACCATATTTATTTGGCTGAGTTTCCAGTCTCTTATAAAACGTTTTTAGGGTGGTCCGGATCTTATTATTTAATGGGGAAAAGCTTATGGTCTTGCCTTTTAAAAATTCATTAGTGCGCTTTCAAGGGTCATCGAGAAAACAAACCAAATTGAAATCAATATAGGCGACGTTAGCGGAAATAAGCAGGATAATATTAATAAAACATGAAAGCAAATGTATAAAAGTATCAAGCAGAACGGGATGGATGTAGAGTTCGGTGGGGCTGCTGTAGGTTCCTGCCTGGTTTCACACGGTGTATCAACACTGATGTGATGACTGGGAACTATAGGGCGGCTGAAAGCATATTCACGGTGTGTAAATGGGCTTCTTCAGATGCGAATGGGCTTCAGGAGAGGCGGTGCGGAAGTTGGACAGCGTGCAAGAGGGAATCGCGGTAAATTCTGCTGCTATCTTGTGATGATGCGAAACTGGTGTTTCTGCCGTCTGTTCCAGTTTTTTTTTTGGAATAAAATCTCAAAGGGGAATGGCCAATATTTAAATTTAACCACTACTACTAATACTACTAGTAATTTATTATTATTACTATTATTATTGGATTTTGAAGTAAAATTACTGATTTATATAAATATTTATTATTAAATATTTAATAGAATTTTCTTTATTGCCACATTTGTGCTGTGTTTAGGGATTTCCAGGTTTTACGAAAAACCACTACCAGTTGTGAGTACCTTACAGGCCCCATTTGGGGGGGAAAAATGTTAAAAATGATCAGTCTGCGGTCCCACCTGGTGCTCTCCTTTACCCGTGTCCTAAATGCTCTCCTGCACTGCATCTGTGTCCCAAAGATGGCACTTCCTGNCTTCCTGTTTTTTTTTTTTTTTTTTTGTGAGCATGGCATTGGTAGAGCAGAGAATTCCCACAATGCATCAGTGTCCTAGAGCCTTATTTAATGGTTTTTTTTTTTTGTTTTTTTTTTGCTTCAGGAATTGTGGGTGATCGAATTTTGCCCCCGAGAGGTGCCAGCCCACTAGGTGAATAAGTAATGTTGCATCACCACCCTGGTGTCAGTCACCTGCTCGAGCTGTAATCGATGCTTGTGGGGAGGGCCAGACACTGCTGGTTTGGTCACTGGTCAGACTGGTAACCCAGGCCTTACCCTAATTGGGTAAATGTCCATGGTGGGGGTGGGGTAGGGACTCGTGCAGTGCACCTGCTACCACACCCCCCCAGCACACTTGGCTGTCTGCTTATCCCCCTGCGACAACTGGGTTATCCATGTCCGTAGCATGGAAATGTATGCTGAGGGAATTTTTCAGGAATCCGATTCCGTTTTCCCACACGCAGTCGGATGATACCCGAGTATTCCCCGAGGTTTCTGGTTTCGGCAGAGATGGCCGGAGCTTCTCGAAGTCGGGCGCCGCACAGGAAGGCTACGGCGTTGGGCAACTTCCGGCCCGGCGTTTTCCATGTTCTTTTAAGTGCACGGTAGAACCCGATCCGCTGGGAATCCGAGCTGTTGGGTCCTAAGGCTTCCTGGCCCGCGGGTCTGCTTCTGCGGAGGTTGGCGAGCCGGCCTGTCTGGCCAGAGTGGTTTGAATGCCAGTGCAGATGAAAAGCGGCTTGTTAGCTTGAGGGGAGGGGGAGGGGGAGGTTTTGGGGGCTGCCTTTCAATACCACAGTGTGTGGGCGGGGGTGGTTCCACCTTATGATTAAGCCTTGAACCCGAGCCATTTTCCTTAAGGCTGGACGGAGAGTGGGGACCGCTCATTCATTTCTATGGGAAAAATGCTAATGCTAACTATGACAACCTTAACCCCTACCCAGCCCTAACCGTAACCATAAGTAACCAAACCAAATGCAAGAGTTTTTGCATTTTTTAGTTTTTTCATTGCAGTCACAGATTTTTATAAATTAGTTTCCCCCTGGTCCCCATAAGGTAAAAAAACAGGTATTCATTACATTGTGGGGACATTTGGTCCCCACTAGGTAAGGTATACCTGGACCGCACACACAGAGCATATTCTGAAGGGTGTGCGTTTGCCGCTGGGATCAGGCGTCTTTCCGGAAAGATGAGCACAGATCGCCTTTAAAGAGACACATACGTATGGCAGTGATCATCCGTGTCTCCCTAGTTGCTGTAATGGCCTTCGGTTAAAAACCGTGTAGGATCCAGTTTGTGTGTGCATGTGCTTAATGTGTATAAACAGTTTTTTTTGTTTTCTTTTATGACACCACCCGCACAGGTTTTGATGTCCCAGACACAATAGTTGGAGTGCCATTGTCAGAGTGTTAACGGATCGCGCCATTATAGCCCTTTGCAGGGTGTGATTGGAGGATAATGGAGCCCGTCGCGGTGCTGTAGCCCAGTCTAAAAAAAGGCGCACTCTCTTCCGGCGACCCTGCGGCGGAACCTCTCCGTGACAGTCCTCCAGGTCAGGGATAGGTGCAAGGAACCATTGAAACGTGGCTGTCTCTGGGCCCGTGTTACCCTTCCGTCCTCGCTGGGTGCACCTCGATTCGTGCTGGTCTGTGACGCGATCGACTTGCTATTTTGGGTTTTTCATTTTGTTCAGTTTTTTTTTTTTTTTTTTTTTGATAAGCACTGGTTTGCTGTTATTTAGAGCAGGCCTCTTGGTGGTGTTTGTGTTGAATGTGTGTATAAATAAGAATATTTTTGCCAGTTATTTTCCCCACAGGAGATTAATTTGTGGTTCATCCATCGTGGGGAGAAGGTGACAGGCTTTGTTGTTCTTGTGTGTTTGGTGTATGATGGGCTGGTTAGTTAAAGTATTACAAGTTCTGCTGACCGATGTCTTTAAGGGATATTCGAGGCAAACGAGGACCTTGGCGTGACACTTGTGTCATTATCTTAGGTGTTTCGTACAGCAGTCGCCGCCATCTGAGACCCCGCCTGAGGCCAGACATCCCTGGCTCCTCGAAACCCTGCAACCCTACCAGGCTGTCATCTCTGGCTCCCCTCCCCCCCCTCCCCATCCCCGGGAACCATGACGACCTCGTCGCTTCGCCGGCAGGTGAAGAACATCGTCCACAATTACACAGAGGCGGAAGTCAAGGTGCGTGAGGCCACCTCCAATGACCCCTGGGGACCATCTAACGCGCTGATGTCAGAGATCGCCGACCTGACCTACAGCATGCCGGCCTTCGCGGAGGTCATGGGGATCATCTGGAAGCGCCTGAGTGACCACGGGAAGAACTGGCGCCATGTGCACAAGGCACTCATCCTGCTGGACTTCCTTGTCAAGACCGGCTCGGAGCAAGTGGCCCAACAGTGCCGGCAGAACATGGTGATGATCCAGGCGCTGCGCGAGTTCCAGTACGTCGACCGCGACGGGCGCGATCACGGCAGCTATGTGCGGGAGAAGGCGACTCAGGTGACGGGCCTCATCCGGGACAGCGAGCGGCTCCAGCGGGAACGTGCCGAGGCGCTGCTCGCCAGGGGCCACGTAGCGGGGCCCGTCGTGCATATGGGGGCCCGGGAACTGCCCCCGCCCTATCCAGGGCGCCACAACCGCCAGCCCAGCATGAGTGCCGTCTACCAGGAAGAGTTTGGTCGCTCGAGGGAGTCCCCCTCTTCGGGGAACTGTGAGTCACCCTACGGTCGTCACTTGGCATTATGGGAACCTGCACGCGTTCGTTCACTATTGTCAATCGTTAACCAATCAGGACACGTTCGTTCACTATTGTCAGTCGTTAACCAATCAGGACACGTTCGTTCACTATTGTCAGTCGTTAACCAATCAGGACACGTTCGTTCACTATTGTCAGTCGTTAACCAATCAGGAGAAGAACTCGTATGTCACTTACTAATTGTTGTCACTCATAGCGAGTGCTGGTTGAAGCCCATGTGGAACCCTAACCAATCATCACTGCTTGCGCCCCCTACCTGACACAAAGTGAAATAGCCTTGTTCAGCCAGCACCTTCTCAGAAGATGGTGGCCCCCCTATGTTGCCTAATAGGTTTACCGGCACTACTTGTGAAATTACTTGGCTAGTTGTTTTGAAGCTTCCCTCCCCCCTCTTTGTTAGTGGATAATCTGGCCGCTGCTCTGATTTAAATATCGTACGTCAGCATTTTATGAAATTGGATCGGCAAAATGCCTCACAACCCTGTTTGTCAGGAGAGATTCCAGCCCATATAATTGGCAAGTAAAATTGATGAGTAACGTTATAAACGACGAGATTTTCAGAATCAGAATCAAAGGTTACTCTGGGACAGGTTTTAGAATACAGGGTTGTCCGTAGTAATCTGCTAATATGGCTAAAGCCATTTGCCAGTCAGATGAGAAGTGTTCCGGAACATTTGGGTGAAATCCGGCCTCCTGTGAGTGGAAGAATCGGCACCGGGATTTGGGCATGGGACTGAAGAATAAACCGGCCTCTAAGGCCATTCTGTCGATTCACTGAGAGAGAAAAATAAACCGAAAGATCCTTTGCTCAGGTCGTTGTCCCAGAGTGCCTAACAGAAACTGAACAAGGACAGCATGGTACATAGAGAAAACAATGTCTGATGCAGAAGGGAGAAGTGGGGAGAAACTCGGAGTACAGCGTGAGGAACAATACCTCTACTGTATAGTAATAATACTCAAAAAAAAATACTCCAAGGAATCACAGCCAGCTGGCCTCCCTGCTGCCCTTAGACATACTAATCATTCTAACCTAAGCGAATAGCGAGGTTAATCAGCGAGCGGCATTCTGGAATAGCATAGAGCTGTGGCTTCTGTCCAGCGATTCGTTAGGACGGCCAGCAGACGCCAGCAGGTCATGCCTCAGCGTTGCTCTGGTGATGGACTGGGCTTCAGGGCTTGTGGGCGATCATGGTGCATTAGTGCTGATGAGGAGACTTGATGTTTGGTAGAATGCGCAGGAGCCCCGCTGCTGATATTTAAGGAAAGAGAGACAAAAATAGGCTGAACAAATCAAACTAAAATAGTCCTCTACCCTAAAAATAGATCTTCCAAGCCTTACGAAATTCCAAATACAGCTGCGTCCTCTTTGCTTTGCTTGTTACTCCGGCTGTGTGTCTCCCTGGTGCATCCTGACGTTCCTCTGCTCCCCTCCTATCCCCCTCCACAGCCTTCCAGTCCCCTAGCCGGGCGTCCTCGGACCTCGAGCAGGCGCGCCCGCAGAGCAGCGGGGAAGAGGAGCTGCAGCTTCAGGTGGCGCTGGCGCTGAGCCGGGAGGAGAGTGAGAAGGTGCGAACTGTAACAAAAGCACGGACATCCATCCATCCATCCATCCATGCATGGATTGATGCATGCATGCATGCATCCATTCATCTGCTTATGCTGGTCAGGGTTGCCTATCCCAGAAAAGAAAGGAGGTAAAGGCAGTGATGGGAATTATAAAATCATTACTAAATAAGATGGAAGCAAGTCATATTATTTTTATTATTGCCAATGACAGCCTTCCAGTACATTCTGCGGCCCATTCTGGAGACAGGCTTGATCTGGGGTAGCGATCAAGACAGTCCGCTTTAAATAGTACCAGTCTGAAAATGAAGCATTTGCAGTTCAGATGATTCTGTTTTTAACTGTATCCTTGTAAACAGCTTGGGCTATGTGTGGGTCAGCCGGTTAGGGCGCTGTGGCTGTAATCGGATGCCTGTAATTGGCAGTGTGATGTCACCATTGGGCCCCTGATCGCGGCCCTTGGCCCCCATGTTGCTTTGGGGCCTGTCTGACTGACTACTTTCCCAAAAAAATAAAGCATCTACTAAATAAATGTAAATGGTATAAATAAGCTTGCGATAAAAATGCTTGTCCTCCGTTATAAACCCGTTTTTTTTGCATTTATTTATGTATTTAGTAGTTTTGTGCAAAGTGACGTACAAGTGAGGCAGATAATGCGTAACATACACATACCTGTCAAGGAGTCAGCTTAAGTTCATGTGCCGCTTCCAGTGATTGGCCAAGGCGGTTGTGGGGGGTGGAGCTGCATGAAACGTCGCACTTGTGATAAGAAATACTATGAACCTGTGAAGTGGGCCGACCCAGAAGCGGCAGACGAGACGCCTTTATAGCACCTTTCTGTAAGAGAAAAGCAGAAGTCATTTTCAGGGAAACTAGTCGTGATCACGGGGAGTCGAGACCGACTGGTTTTGCTCCGGTGGGAACCCGGAGGAGGAGAAAAACAGGCTGAAGAAATGGAGAGAGGAGGCCGGCTGGCATTGCTCATGCCGCCGTCAGATTTGGTGTCACTCCCCGCAAGCCCCTTTTCTGCCTAAAGTTTTGAAATTCAGGCCGGTGCCGTCTATCTTTTGGTGGGAGAGAGCTATTTATGGGTCAGTCAGCTGACCAGAGTGCTCGAATTCCACTGCACAGAATTGGCTCAGTGGCGTTTGGAATTGTTTCGCGAATTTGAGCATCTTTCACTCTTCCTCTCTGTGCTTAATATTTATTTGACCCTAATCTTAATCCTAACCTTCCTGGGAGAGACAACACTCAACCCTGTAACCCAGGGGTGGCCAATCTTACCCGCAAAGGGCCGGTGCGTATGCGGGTTTTCGCTGCAGCTCCCTAATTATATTACTAATTAGAGGACTGATTGGCTGAAGAGTCCTCACACCTGGGTTTGAACAGCTGACCTACAGGTTATCCCAAAAACCTGCATACACACCAGCCCTTTGCGGATAAGATTGACCACCGCTGCTGTAACCGGTTTGAAGATTTAAAAATTTTTGACGCTACTTTTCTGTCTTATATCCAAGTCATGTTTAAATTGTCAGATTGTCAGTGTTGAATTGTCATCGTCATACTTGCATGCTCTTTATCACTCTTTCTTGCACTATAACCATCAAAACTGTAATTTCATCTCTGCGCATAACCTATGGATCGTATAGCCGAAGATGACAAAGATACTTTGACTTTTTGACTTTGAAGATGAATGGGTCAGTTGATGGATGTTATATATATATATACCTTTTGTGAAGATACACTCTCACTGCTGTCTGTCACGCTGTTGTCTGTCACGCTGTTGTCTGTCACGCTGTTGTCTGTCACGCTGTTGTCTGTCACGCTGTTGTCTGTCACGCTGTTGTCTGTCCCGTCGGCAGCCGCAGCCGCCTGTGGACTCCAACGAGCAGGCCCAGCTGGAGATAGCCTTGCGTCTTAGCAAGGAGAACCACAAGGTGGGCCGAGAGCAGGGGCCGGGGTTCGAGCCTCAAAGGCCCGAGGAAAACATTGGGCATCGAGCATCAGTTTGTGTTTTTCTGGGCTTGGCTTTCCTCTATCGAGTCTCTAAATATAGATAAAGAGGCCATCCAGTAAAACATTTCTGGCAAACAATTCAGTGTGTAATTCTGTCTGACTTTTCAGGGTACGTCGTTTTACATTCCCAGAGCTGGGCCAACGTGGCGTCAATTGCCTATTTTTCTATACAACTGATATAAATGTATATAAGATGTGTATAATTACTTACTTGCTTCTCCTGATCCAAAACCTGAATGTGAGGGTGCATTGTGGGTAAAACGCTGTTAGTGGCTGCTGGCCTGCATCTCTGCAGCTCCGTGTCTCTGTCTCCCCAGCCGGCTCAGCCTCCCCCGGTCGCCTTGGATATCGACGAGGACACGCAGCTGCAGATAGCCCTGAGTCTGAGCGAAGCGGAGCATCAGCAGGTAGCCGAACACACACGCTCGCAAACGCCTGCGTTTCTCGCTTCCCACTACCCCCCCCCCCCCCCCCTTTAATCCACCCGTCTTCCAGCTAATCATCCAGATCAGGATGACGGGGATGTCTGGAGTCTGTCCCGGGCAGCATAGCGCAGTTTGCCAGCTCCTCACTTTACCGCCCCTGATGCTTCTCAGCTCCTGCGAAACTGATTATAAGGAGATTTAATGGACATTTTTGGCTGATGATGCATTCTGTTAAAAAAAGCCCCTATATACTCCCCCCCCCCTAATTACACCCCTTACGGGAACAGTGAAACAGCCTCTGGTTGGTGTTAGCGAACAGAGTCATGTGACACAGATCCTGGCGGGGAGCTGCATCTTTTTTTCCATCCCCTCCAGGGGACGCGGGGCTGGTTAGAGTGGGATAGGCAGCTCACTATGCGAACACAGAAAGGCCCCTTTCGGCAGGAAGTGGAAAAGGGATAAATGGGTGGGGAGAGGAACAGCTTAGGCCTGCAGGCCAGTGCATTGTGCGACCGCTTCCAGGATACCAGAGGCACAAAAAAACTTTGCACACCAATTTAAACACATGGACAGGAGGGGGGGGGGGCATCCTACCAGGCTTTGTCAGCTGGCTTTCCCTTTCTCCACCCCCTGAGCCTCACCCTCCCAACAAGGGAATTTCTGTTGCAGTCTGTCCAAAAAAAAAAAACGATGAAAAAAAGTGAAAGCTACACCCACACCTAGCTGTTGCAGCGTTTATACCCCTCCCCCGCTTGCTCTGACTTGTAACGGCTTCCCTGCCGCCGTGATTGGCCGAGCGCAACCCCTGTGGTCCAATGAGTACGTGTCCGTGTGCCTGTGAGTCAGAGCGGGTCCGCGGGTGAGTCAGTGGCGCGTCTGAGTCAGTGTGGCCGAGCGTGTCTCGGCTAACGGAGATGTGTTAACGGGATGTGTTAGCGGGGCGCGTGTCGATTGGCAGGCCTCGCTCAGCCCCTGACTCCTACCTCGTCATCGTCTCCAGGAGCAACGCAATCGCCAAGGAGATGAGTCCCTGCTTCAGAAGGCGCTCGAGGAGAGCAGAAGAGAGACTCAAGCCGGAGGAGGAGCTGTACGGAAAAGACCTTGTTTTATCACGATTTGCATTTACATTTACAAGTTAAATGAGCATAAACATGCGTTGATTTATTCAGTGTAAAAGTTGTCTTTGATGCACCGTAGAGGGCCTGCAAAACAGGCAGAACTTAAGAGTCCTATATTGACAGGTTTAAAAAGATGATTCAGTCACGGATCTTTTCATCCAATAGACTAGAAAATGAACCGGTCGTAATGTGGCCGCTCTTCTTGTTTTGCAGTGTCATTCTACGTTTGCGGACGAGGTGGACATTTTTGGCCCTAGTTCTGCACATGCCCCTAGTGCTGACCTTTGGGACCAGAGGACTGGTAACTCCCAGCCGGCTAGTCAGACACATTCAGATCCCTGGGATATATTAGGTAAGCACCAGCCTTGTGGTGAACAGCTAGTAAGCCCATGAGTGGCCATTTTCAGTTCAGTTTTATTACAGCACATCGTTAGTCGAATTCACTGCATGCGCATGCTTTGTTGTGTAGAACCGTGCTCCAGTACCTCGGCAATCCCAAAGCCTTGGGTAGCACCCCCAGCCTCCGATGCTTCAGTGCTGTCCATAGGGCCCAAGCTCTCTACCACAGACCCCTGGGAGCCACCGAAGAGTAGCCCCTGTGTACAGCCAGCAGGCCAGGTTGGGGCCTTCCCTATTCAGACAGGTACTGTATGAGGTGTTGGTCCTAAACATTGGCGGTGGCCTTTGCGGGCTCCCTGTGAGGCGCCGGCGGCGGCCTTTGCGGGCTCCCTGTGAGCTGCGGGCTGCCTGTGAGGCGCCGGCGGCGGCCTTTGCGGGCTCCCTGTGAGCTGCGGGCTCCCTGTGAGGCGCCGGCGGCGGCCTTTGCGGGCTCCCTGTGAGCTGCGGGCTCCGGCCTTTGCGGGCTCCCTGTGAGGCGCCGGCG